TGGGTCAGTGTCCTTGTAGCCCTGTTACAGGTGGGTTAGCTGAGGCTCAGAGACCTCCGTCATTTCTAAAGTAGCCCCGCCAGTACACTATTCTATAGCATTCCGTTGTGTTGTCTTCTTCAGAGCATGGTTCACTCAGAATTGATCTTGTTTCTGTTTATTACTTGTTTATTCTATCCCTCACCCCCACCCTACTGAAATGTCAGCCCCATGAAAGCAGAGCCTCATCTGCCTCAGGTACTGCTCAGGGCCTAGAACAGGGCTTGAAATATAGAAGGGACTCTGTTAATGTTTGTTGACTGACTGAATGAATGAACTATTTGTTGAATGAGTGAACCAGGGTTCCTTCTCCCTTTTTTCTTTTCTTCTGATGGAACGCTCTCCCTGTAGCACTTGCGGGATGTTCCGGAGACAGAATCACCCTTCTCCCACATCTCCTGGTGCTCTTGAGTCAAGTACGGAGTGGTGCTAAGGATGGGAGGGGGGACCCCCTGCCCTCGGGGACCTCATGATTCTGTACAGGGTTTTCAAACTGCAGGTCACAAGCAAAATCAGTCTTATGCAATGCAATAAAAATAAATAAATAAATAGGATAGGACAGGTTAGAAAGTATCAGAATGCATTGTACACAGTAAAGCTAAGCATATGTGTGTGTGTGTGTGTGTGTGTGAGAAACACACACACATTCATTTCTCTGTGGAGCTAGTGGTCCAATGTAAAATGTATTGCTAACTTTGAGTCTTGGCCAAAAAACTCTGAACCCAGTGTGTGAATTTGAGAGGTGGGTGATGGCATCCTTGAGCCTGGAGGGTACAACCAATAAACTGAATAATTCTTTTAATTATGAATCTAGTTATTGACCATATATTCTGTTCAGGCAGGGGTGCTCAGGTCCAAGATCCCTACACAGAGATGATGAGGAAGGAGCCCAAGAGCAGACAGAGATCTTGTGAGCCAGGAAGACTGCCTGGAGGAGGCAAAACCTGAACTCAGCTTCAAAGAACCCCTCTGCCCTGGCAGGTTCAGGGCTGGGAGAGAGGGTGAGCTCAGGTGGCAACAATAGTAACAGTAACAAGAGCTGCTGTGTCAGTGAGCTCTGGCTGAGGGCCAGGCACCCCTTTAATCCTCCAGACATTCCCAGGAGGTAGAACTGCCCTTCGTATAACTTTACAAATGAAAAAAATGAGACCTGGAGAAACGCAGTAACTTTTAGGGTAGGGGGTTACATGGCGGTAAAGTTGCTGAGGCCAAATCTGGGGCAGGTTCACCCTGCTCGAAGCCAGTGTCTGTAAGCCCTCGACCGCACACTGAAGGGGCCTGGATCCCAGAGACCAGCAGTGCGCCTGGAAGGGCAGACAGTCACAGCAGGCCCCTGAGGCAGCCAGGGCAGGTGGAGATGGGTCTGTGCTGGGAGCTGGGAGCACGCATACCCGAGGTTCCGAGATCACCTGCCTCAGGGGAAGACTGCAGGCCCCAAGACACCCACCTCGGAGGCCCTACAGGAGCCCCGGTTCTTGGCAATACTGCGGTCATGGGCATCAAGACCAGACTGGCTCCCTGCCTCGACACTGTCATTCCTCCAGCCCAGTGTCCCCAGCTGCCGGCAGGCTTGGTGGGGAACAAGGAGCAGAAAAGAGCAGTAGGGCCTGTTTCTCATCTTTTGTCACGTCTCATCCTTGCTGGTTTGAACCCAGCTCCTCTGCCTTCCAGCGAGTCATTTGTGCCTGTCAAGAAATAATTCTTGGCTTGAGCATTGTCACAAAGGAACAGGGGGCTCCCACAGCTTATTTTTCTGTGTGGGAATTAAACTTGGAAGTTCTCTCCCAAGAGCACCAGCACCTTGCTTTTTTGGGTGGAGGGGGCTGTGGACAGCTACAAGCAATTCTTCAGGAAGTGTGAGTAATGGGGTTATTCGCTATTCTTTGCACCAGCAACCTGGTTTTGGACTGTAGTAGGTTGGTTTGTGTGTGTGCTGCACATACATATACACACATGATCATTGGTATATCTACATTCACACCTGTTGGACGCTTGCACAAACATGTACTTCCTTATTCACATCTTTGCACATGTGAGCTCACACATGAGCGACATAAGCACATATGTGTGCATACATTTGTACATAGGACACTGGCATTCTTTAGGCAGTAAGGTGGTATCTTGGGTGCTTGTGTATGTGGAATGTAGGGTGGTGGTAGAGCTGGTAGGGTGCTGGCTGAGTGGGTGAAGGTCCTGTTCTTGGACCATCGATTCTTTCTCAGGGACTTTTGGGCTTCTGCTCTGAGCTTCCAGATCTCTCAGGCAGCTTCTGTGACAGTTTGGGCAGAGAGAGTTGGCCCAACTTATTTCTCCTTCTGCCTGGGGCTAGGGAGGGCACTTTCTCGTGGCAATATCTAGGGCTGCTCTGTGTCCCTTCTTTCTTCTCTCCCTCAGTATTCAGCTTCCTCCCCTTCCCAGGCCCACAGTGGGGCAAATCTGGTCCGGAAGGCTTTCTTGTTGTTGGGGACACCCCCAGCCCAGGGCCAGCAGGCAGCCAGGGACACAGGGCTTGCTGCTCCGAGCAGGACTTAGCCGAGCTTCAGGGGCTGGGGGTGGGCTGAGGAGGCTGGACGCTGTGGTCTGGATGCAGTTTGTGGGTTTGTCCAGGAGACACTTCCAAGACACCAGCCCCCTACTTCTTCTTTTTTTTTTCAGATTCAAAAGAAGAGTTTTACTGAAAACAAGATGGAGGGACGAGGGAAAGGGAGGGCACGCTGATGAAGAGTATGGCTCCCTGGACCGCCGCTGCGGTCTGGCTCTTCACCCAGGCACAGAGAGGATTTCTTTGCTTTCCAGGTTCCCACCGTGGCTCACACCCCTACTTCTGGGGTCTACAAGCTGAGCCCCAAGTTGTCTGTTGAAGCCAGAAGAGCTGTGATTGTTGGCTCTCCTGGGGACATCTCTGTCCTGGGCTTTTCTGCTTAATTCAACAAGAACACCTACTGTTGCATGGTGGATGCCAATGAATGAATAATGTGTACTGGGCACTGTACTGGCGGCCAGAGATGGAACTTTGTCCTCCAGGAGCCGGTCTAGAGAGAAAGAGGGCCACATACTCCAGCACCTGCTGGACAGTGAGGGAAGGGGAGTAGTGTGCGTGCCTGTGCATGCATGCATGCACGTGTGCACGCATATGCTAGTACTGCACACACCCCCACCACAGTCCTGGCTGCAATGGGAGTTATTCCGGAATACAGCATCCTCAGGATGGCGGGCCCTCAGCTGGGGGGCCTGACAGCTGGAGGGGTAGGGTACGGGGGTGTGATGGGAGAAGGAAGAGAATGGTATCTAAGGCTGGAGCCTACAATGCGACACACACGATGCCAGGGCATCACACGCCCTCGCTTCCTGGCTCCTCAACATCTCTTTGAAGGACAGACCATTTTTTGGATGAGGAACTTGGGGATCAAAGAGCTTATGTCACTTTTCCCAGATCTCACAGCCCATAAACCGTGAGCCTAGCCGAAGGTCGGGTCTGCTTCGCCAGACCACTCCTTGACTTTCTCGGCCCTTCTCCTCCTGGCACACTTTAGGTACGACCCGGGAAGCCTGAAGGTGAGGACATGTCTACCTCACCCACTAAGTTTCCTCATTCCCAAAAATAGTGATAATAAACTCATCCAGGTGCAGCACTTGAGACCATAGTGCTGGAGACCTGGTAAACACCACAAACGACAGGCATTTCTCCTGTCTTATTGCTAGGGTTCAGGCGCCGCTGCGGGGGCTCAGCGCCCCTCTCCCAGCACAGCGCTTTCTGGCTTGACTTTGGACAGAGGTAAGGGCTGAACTGCCTTCATTATGAGAGATCTGGGTTCCATTCACTTTGGCATCAACTCTGATTGATGGCCAGGCAGCTAGTGACAGGTAGGGAATAAGGATCTCCTCCGATTGCGGTGGGGAAAGAGGAAGTGACTCACTAACCACAACAAAGCCCACCTCCCGGAGAGGAAGCCGCTGTAGAGAGTAAACGCACACGGAGGCCCACGGGGGCGTGCGAGCCAAGGGCGAGTTTGGGCTTCTGGGCGTCGAGTAGGCCTGGCTGGGCTGCTATGCGGGGGCAACCCCGCGCAGCGCAGAAGGCAGGGGCAAACTCCCTTGAGGAGCGGACATTGTGCGTGTCGCCGATGGGAGCCGAGGGGGAGGGACAGAGGGACCCCCTTCCCTTCCAAAGTGTCTTGCCTGCTCTTCCCATTTCGCCTCCGAGGGCGGAGGGGCGCATTTCTCTGGGTGGCCAGGGCTTGGGAGAAACCCACTACAGAGCGGACAGTCTGCTCTTTAAGGGCTCGCGCAATGACACTTGAGGAGGTTGAGGCCCAGAGAAGGTAATCGCCTAAATCAGGTTGCACAGCACAGTACAGCCCGCTTGGCTTTAAAAGGCAGAGAGGCGAGGGAAGCCCAGGCTCGCGAATCTCTCGGGGAGCTGGTGTCTGGGAGGGGGTGTGGCGCCGCCAGCGTTTGCTTCTTTCTCCAGCCAGGAAGGCTGGATGTAGGGTTTGGGTATCTTCCAGAACGAACCGAATTAATGACAAGGGAAGAGGAACTGGTTTCCCAGGCAGTCTCCCCCGCCCCAAACTCTTCCTCCCTAAGCTGGGTGGGCGGACGGAAGGAGGAAGCGGGGCCGGGGAAGGTGGGGCCAGCCGTTCCCTCCCGGCTCCGGAGCCGAGTCTCTGGACGCCTAACCGGACGCGGCTCGGGTGAGTGTGTCTTTAAATCCGAGCCCCCCGCCCCCTAGTCGACTGGGGCCGGGGTTCAGGCTGGTCGGGCGTTGGCGGGAGCGGTGATTGGCGGCCCAACGGGGCCCGCCCCTCGGCGTTGGGGGCGCGGGGCGCCGGGACCAAAGCTGCGCGCTGGGGTTGGGTCTTGCAGCTCTCACCGTCGGCAAACGCGGACTCTCGCTCTGGTGACCTCGCCTCATAGCGCCCGGCCTGCCCGCCTCCGGAGTCACCTCTGCCCACGGATGGGCTGGGGAAGTTGGGAGGAGCGAGCCGGAGCCCGCGCCGGGCTCGCCCCGCCGCTGCCTGACTTGGCGCCCGCAGTCCCGGCGCAGCGCGCCTACCGCAGGCTGGCAGGTACCGATGCTGGCGAGGGTAGGGCAGATCCGGGAGCCTTCTGCTCTCCCACCCCTCTCGGCCGCTCTGACCACCCGCTCCCCATCCCCCGGAGCTAACGCCTCCCTGGGCTCCCCGGAGAAGAGAGGTTCTGGGCCCCCACCCAGACTCGCACGGGATTGGTGCCTGGGAGAGAAGCGGGACATCACGTACTGAACAGTGAGCAGATATTGGGTCATTTTGTTTGTCGCGCCCTGGGCTACCCCCTCTCCCGAGGTTTCCCTTGATCTCAGCAGATGTGGGCTGGCAACACCTCCACTCTTCATGGCTAGGGCTGCGGGTAGCCCCAAACGGACTTCCTGGGGGAAGCGAAGCTGTCTCACGATCCACACTTGGGCTCATATTTAGGGGTCTTGAGGCCTGTGGAAGCGGAAGAGCCCAGAGGTACCCGTGGGCACACGCTTTGATTCTGCGCCGCTCTGGCTCTCTCCTTCTGTGGGCCTGGGTCTCCCGGGAGAGCCTCCTTTTCATCTTCAGAGGTTTTTCCAGAAGAGACAGTGACCTGTCAGAAAGCAGAGTATGGTGCGTGGGAGACCTGCTGCACCCCATTTACAGTGGCGGACATGGTTGGAACATGCTCTTCTCTCATGGGGAGTCAGACATGGAAGAACGCTTCCTGGTTTCATCAAGCTTCTGGGATTCTTTACTTTCCCAACTGGAGGCCCAGTGGCTAACTCCATGGGTTTTATGCAGAGCGACCGGACCCAGTGACCAAGTGCCTCTTAAGTTCCAGGCACTGGGCTCTGCCTGGGAGAACGGCAGTGGTGGGAGGAGGTGGAGGGCTCTGTCCTCTGGCGGCTCAGCCCCGTGGGGAAGACAGGACAGAAACATGCAAAGTTTGCTGCTGTGGGGTTTCCATACCAGTTCTGGTCCAGTAGTAATAGTAGAAATGCCAAGAGGCTGCACATGATTAATTGCTAAGTGAGTGACATAGACCGAGTTGGTGGTGACGGGAGGCGGGGACTGGGGTCCAGTTCTCTTGCAGTCAGTCATGCAAATATGCTTGAAATGTTCCGGCTCCATACCCAGCCTTTCTAATGACCCTGCTGGTAAAGAGGACCTTTCTCCGCCCCCAGGGACCGGGAACAGCAGGAGGGCTCAGGAAATTCCCCTTTCTGTATGTGCCCCCAGCCTCACTCCAGGTGGTTTTTTCCCTGCTTGTAGATTTCTGAAGAAACCCATTTAATTTGTGGGGTCAGGCTGAGCGCTGGATTCTCCCAGCTGCTCGGGGACCTCTGAGGTTGGGGGTCTAGATCCGGCTTTATTGGAGGTTCAGAGGCCAGCAGGGAGGAAGTCCTCACTTCCTTTCTGAAGAGCCTCTATTGCTGGGGGCTGGGGATGAGGTTGGGAGGCTGGGGGAGGCCCTGAGCCAGACAGTTTCCTGTGAGTGCAGGCAGGCACTCTCCCATTCACTGGCCACTGGTGTTGGAGTTGGGGTGTTGGAGGTGGGTGGGCTGGGCAGGGCTGGCTTGAGGTGGGAGGTACCTGGGGCAATACTGACCTCATGTCTGAGGTTTCTGTTGTGTCTGGGGTTCTGTCCCTCCCCCAACATCCCTGGCAGATTTCTGCTTTTCTGGAACACTTTGCGGAGGTGGCAGTGTGCTTGTACATGTAGCCTTGGGCGCTGTTCTGGGAGTAGGAGTTGCTGAGCTCACCCTGCAGCCCTTGGCCAGCACCGTGAGTACTTGGGTAAACATGCCCATCCACCTCCAAATAGGTGGCACACACAGGGTCGCCCTGGTACAGGTGGGGAATGCTGTACGAGCAGAGATGTATGCGTGCTCAGGTTTATAGTGCGTGGGCAGAGACAGACACTGGATAGAGACACGATGAAGACAGATGGAAAGACAATGGAGGTGGGTAAGACATGTGTAGGGGCAGACAATGTGAACACAGAAACATCAACCACACATGGGCCACAGACCCTATGTAGACAGGTCTACACCTTCACCTGATGTGTAAGTGGGCAGACATATGAGCTTCTGACGTGGATGTGAGCCGACATTCACTGGCGCAGAACATGGAGCCACGTGGAAGTGACTTGAGTACTTGGGTAGACGTGAGTTGGCTGTGGGCTCCCCGGGGACACAGAGACATATACCTGCTGAGTCACCTGACAATGAGGCCAGGACATGCACAGGTGGGCACCAGGACGTAGTCTGAGTTGTGTACCGCTCAGTCATTGTCATGAGTGGCAAGCAGTGCTCGGAAGTGGACCTGTTTGGGGTGATAGTGCAGGTGTCTGTGGTGTGGCTTCATTGGTAGACCACTCCTCTGGGGTTCGAAGACCCCCAGGGCTCAGTAGTCTCTGTTTTGCTCTGAGAATCATTTGACCTTCTCACTCCCTAGTGACAGGGCTGGGTGCATGCCTTAAGCACGAGCAGGGGCTCCCTGAACCTTTGAGTCTCATCTTCCCTGAGCCCCCAGAAGCTTCCTGAAGTGCGACTGTGTGTCCTAGGGTAGGGGAGCAATCTGGCAGGGGACTTTCCTTCTGACCCCAAGCCTGAGGGGGTTTGGCAGGGAAGGACCCATCCCTGGGGGACTGGGAGAGTAGTTTTGCTGTGGGGTCTTTGGTGAAATCATTGTTCTCTGGTGTGGACTACGTTTCTCTGAAACTCTGGCCTTGGGCCCAGAAGGGGGCCTCCTGCCTCTGGCTATAGTTTCCTCTCCTGCCCACCCTGGAGACTGGGAGCCAGAATCTAGATACAGCTTGACATTAACTCACCCTATGACCCTGGAGAAGTTACTTAGTGTCTTAACTCACTCACTTAAAGTGAAACTCATTTTAAAAATGGGGCCATTAACCCCTGTCCCTTGGGGGTGTTGTGAGGGTTAAATGCTAGATAATCCATGGAAAGCTTGTGGTTTGGCCCTGGCGCAGAGCGAGCACTTGGTCAGCGGTGCTTTGATTGTGAGCCTGTGGCCAGGACTCTCCAGAGCTGCTCCAGCAGCCAGGTGCCTGGCCCCAGGAAGGCTGGGCATGCGGCACCTCTTGTTCGAAAGCTGGAGGGCTTTGTCCTCACCCCTGCCCACCAGCCACTCCTTAGTTCTGTGGAACTTGCACGCAGGGTCAGGAAATGGCAGGCAGGGTGTATGGAAGCTTGGGCCCGCTGCCTTCTGCGCCTCTGGGAGGGGAGCCAGTGGTTTGCTAAGAATAGCCCCAAATCATGGCTCTGCCTCCCACTGGGCAGCCGTGCACCTCCCTGGTCCAGGGCACAGGAGCTTGCAGATGGGCCTTTTGTGTTTCCTGTAACTGGCACTCAGAGTGGGAATGGGCCGGGGAGCGGTGGGCTCGGTCTGGGAGGAGGTCCTGCTGCTCTCCCTGGGTCTTTGGCTGGGACCTGAAAAAAGAGAAATTTCGTCTCCCACTCAGAGCTTGTCCTGACAGCTGCCCCCTGATTATTTTCCTACCTCCGCGACGGTCCTGGAACCTCACCGCTGGGGTCCAAATTTCGGCTCTTTCACTAGCTGTGTGCCCCTGGGCAACTCGCTTAACCTCTCTGTGCCTGATGCCCTTATGTAACAGGGTTAATGATAGCAACTCTTTTATAAGAATGTCTCAAGGATGATAGGAGGCAGTGCACGGAGAGCACTTGTTAGAGTGTGGCTTGTAGTAAATGCTCAGTAAACCTCAGGTGCCTCTGTTATCACCTTTCTCTCAGCGAAGGGAGACACCTAGGAGGCCAGAGACCAGGATGCTCGCACAGTGCCTCATGGTGGGAAGCCACTAGGATGCCTCTTGGCTTGTTCTTGATTGGGGTTCTGTATGAGGTGCAGGGGACCAGAAGTGAGTGACACTTGACACCTGCCAGGTGAGAGAGGCAGGTAGGTACATTCTGCCACCCCCCACTGGTACCTTCCCAGGGTCTGTGCTGGCCAAGAGTGGAGGTAGAGGGAGGGAATGGCTTGCCTGGGGGCAGGGCGATGCTTCAGGTGGGCTTTGAAGGCTGGCCCAGACTGCGCAAGGGTGAGGGAAGGCTTCCCGAGCAGAAAGAGCAGCCCATGCGAAGGTGTGACACAGCTTGGTGTGGGTGGGGGACATGAACAGATCCGTGGATCCGGGGAGGGGTTCCACCCTCGCACTCCTGGCTTGTTAGGAAAGACCCTGCATGTTGGGACCTTCTGCCCCTGCCACGCAGGGCTCTGGGGCAGCCCAGGTTTCCCTGTTAGGACACAGGCTGGAGGCCCACCAGAATTCCTTTTAGGAATTACATTCCCAGTTCCTCGATTCTTTAGATACCCCCCCTACCCCCTTATAAAAGCTGTCAGCTTTCCCTCGTGCCCCTCATTTTTGAGCTGGGGCTCCAGACTCCTCCTACCCAAGATCAACATGCCTATTTTTGCTCTTAGTCAAGATACCCATGAGTTAATAAATCCTCATCCCCTTCCTTTCAGTGAATTGAAGCCTTTGAAAACTCCTTAGGCTTTCCTAAGGAGTGAATGTCTAACAGTGGAATTTCTGGACTTCAGAAATTGTTTTATATATTTCCTGTAACTGATATAACTGATATGTGGACTGGCTTTAGCTACGAGGGCGTACCCCTGTTTGGGCTGGGGCACTGCGAGAGACATGGGGCATCTGGGGTTACCTACGTGACCATAGCAGGCATGGGGCGGGGGTGGGGGGGTGAATCTGAGCGCTGGGTGTGTCGCTGATGGCCCTGCAGGCTCCCAGGGAGCTAGGGCTATCGGAAATTCCAGGAGGAAGGAGGGTGTGGTACTGGGAGGGCTGTGGATCCACCGCTGGGTTTCCCGCCCTCGCCCCTGAGAAGCCCATGAGGCTGGGTCAGTTTTTGGGGGGGAGAGGAGAGGTGGACACCCTTCGATGACCTTGCACCGTGCCAGCCTCTGCAGCCTGCTGAGCCCCGCCGCCCGCCTGTCTGCAGGCGTGTGGCCTTTGTCCTGCCACCCCAGGGTGGGGGTTAGGAATACTTGGGTGTTGTGGAGATTCTGTTTAGAGA